ACTGGTCAGCCTCGGTCCACACTGCATGACCCTAAACTTCTCATCCTCGGTCCATAGTGCATAACCCAAAACTGCTCAGCCTCGGACAGTGCGCATGACCCAAAACTGCTCAGCGACGGTCTATAATGCATGACCTTAAACTGCTCAGCCTCTGTCCATACTGCATGACCCTAAATTGCGCAGCCTCAATCCATACTAAGTGACCCTCAACTGCTTAGCCTAGGTCCATACTGCAAGACCCACAACTGCGCAGCCTCGGTCCATATTGCATGACCCTAGACTGCTCAGCCTCGATCCATACTGCATGACCCTCGACTGCTCAGCCTCGGTTCGTACAGCATAGTCGTAAACTGCTCAGCCTCGGTTCATACTGCATGACACTAAACTGCTCAGACTAGTTCCATACTGCATGACCTTAAACTGCTCTGCCTCGTTCCTAAGTCTCTATGCCTCGGCCCATACGACATGACCTTAAACTGCTCAGCCTTGGTCCATACTACATGACCCTAAACTGCTCAGCCTCGATCCATACTGCATGACCCTAAACTACTAAGCCTCAGTCCATACTGGATGGCCTTAAACTGCTCAGCCATGATCCATATTGCAAGCCCCTAAACTGCTCAGCAACGGTCCATACTGCATGACCCTAAACTGCTCAGCCTCGATCCATACTTTATGACCCTAAACTGCTCAGCCTCTGTCCATGCTGCATGACCCTAAACATTTCAGACTCAGTTCATACTGCATGACCCTAAATGGCTCAGCCTCGATCCATACTGCATGACCCTAAAATGCTAAGCCTCGATCCATACTGCATGACCCTAAACAACTCAGCCTCGATCCATACTCCATGACCCTAAACTGCTCATCCTCTGTCCATACTGCATGACACTAAACTGCTCAGCCTCGGTCCTTACCGCATGATGCTAAACTACTCAGCCTCGGTCCATACTGCATAACCCTAAATTGCTCAGCCTCGGTCTATACAGCATGACACTAAACAGCTCAGCCACGGTCCACACTGCATGTCCCTAAACTGCTCAGCTTCGGTCCATATTGCAAGACCTTAAACTGCTCAGCCTCGGTCCATACTTTATGACCTTAAACTGCTCAACCTCGGCCAGCCTCGATTCATACGGCATGACCCTAAACTGCTCAGCCTCGATCCATACTACATGACCCTAAACTGCGCAACGTCAGTCCATACTGCATGACCCTAAACTACTCAGCCTCGATGGGTCTTATTTGGTTCAGGTCCCACACTATATTTAAATATATATTTCACACATTTTAATTTTTGGGTTTAGTCCCGATCCGTAGCACGGTAGCAGCTAACCGCTTGAACCTAACCTCGATTGCCGGACCCATACGAAACCGACCCGATCCATATCACGGCAGCTGGTAACCGCTTGAACCCAACCTCGATTGCTAAAACGAGCCGGTAGCTCGACCTTCGCACACATAGGTCCTCGTTTTCACGTAAACGATATTTATGACAAATAGTTTCAAAGTTGGGGCCATTTCCGTCCTTTTCGATTTGTTAAGTCGACCAAGTATGCACTGCAACAGTAGTCTCAAATGCCCCCATCAGGAAAAAAAAAAACAGAGATCCCTTCTTCCGAGGCAAATTTCCTATCTGAAAAATTAATTGAATTTTGTATTTTGTAATTTTTTTTTACAATGCATTGGGTTCAGGCAAATTCAGAAGATTATGGTGGATCACTTCCTCAGGCTCGAAGGTTTTTTTCCCTCATTATTTGATCTTTGTTTTACTAATGCTTTGATCAAAATTTCCGTCATTTTATTGGTTATTGATAATGATTATGTTGATTGTTAGTTACTAATTTTATTTGTTATTGTTTATTGTTTATTGATTATTGATTATTGGTTATTAATAATGATGTCAAAATATTTTATTTTATTTTGTTAGTGGCCACACTGCTGTAAATGTGGGGAAATCGATGATTGTGGTGTTTGGAGGTTTTGCTGAGAAGAAATTCATTAATGATATCAGTGTTTATGATACTGGTATGTTTATTTTTCTAAATCCATTTGTATTTTGTTCGTAATCAGAAATTTTTGCGTTTTTTCTTTTTATGATTTCTGCTGTATCTCTGCCTTTTTGGTTGAATTATTCTTATCTTTCCTTGTAAGATGCATTTTGGCTTTTCATTTTGTAGGTTTTTTAGCTCATAGTATTTGTTCTATAGGTTCTGCATCTGTGCTATTTGAAATGGATTCATTTCCTTCTACTGTGAAGAAAAATCATGCATTTGTTGCTTCTTCCTTCTATCATTCTAAGAGTTCACTTCTCTTCTTATTTATTTCATGTAATTTTTTTTTTTTTTTTGTTTACCATGTAATTCCTTGATGTCATGACTTATTACTTTCTTATTCTGCTGTTTTATCATATCACGAAATTCATTTTTTTTGTTTTCGTATATTGGGCTGTAATTGATCTTCAATATCATTCAAATCCATCAGTTATTTGTAGTTTCTAAGAATTGCAAATTAATAGGCTTCACTAGAAACAATCAAACTTGTTGGTTTGAACTTAGAAATACTCCAAAACATTGCAAAATTTTCTAATTCCTCATTTTTTTTTTACTCTTTTTGTGGATAAATTCTAAAATTCTGTGTAAGTTTGTTATCAATAAGAAAAGGCATCTGGCTATTTTTCCTTATACTTGGGATTTATGGAAAACTTTAATTGTTACTAATGTTAGGAGATAATCTCAAAACAATGTTAAGATATAATTAATCAAATACTTCACATGAAGAAAGTGGAATAGGTCAAATCATGAGATAAAATTGATATGTACCACTTTAATGAATACAAGAAAGTCTCTTTAGTTATTTTTCTATTCTTGTGTATAAAATTCTTGATAGGCTAATCATGACAATTGGCGGTCCTGATGACAAGCAAGAGTGCAATGTATTTCGTTCATGAGCATTCAGTAATATTGCCCTTTGCCAAATATTGAGGTTCTTTGGTGCATTGGTGTTGTTAAATAATGCAGAGAACAAATTATGGTTCCGGCCAGAGTGTACAGGCAATGAGTCCAATGGACAAGTTGGTCCATCTCCACGCGCATTTCATGTTGCTGTTGCTATTGATTGCAACATGTTTATTTTTGGTGGACGTTCTGGTAATAAACGGTTCGTTGACATGTGTAACCTTTATCCTCAACCTCCTTATGTATATGGTTTCTATTACTGCTTACAAGACGTTATGTGGATTAATCTCTAATAAACTTTAGCATGGTTGTTCAGGTTGGGTGATTTCTGGATGCTTGATACAGGTAAAGGTCTTCTGTGCAACTTACTTTAGAGGAAGACCATGGTTTTATGGATGTTGCTTTTTATTCCTCGCAGGAGCTACCATCTTGTATGCATAATTATTTATGAAAGGTTCATACTTTAGTTGACTCTTATGGATTAGTACCAATCAGTTGCCTTGATTAATGGAAGAAATTTAGTTTAGTAAGAACTCTATGTGGCATCTGCTGAATAATTAGATTCATGAAATGAAAGGCTTCATGGTTCTCATGGTTATCCCAAGTCAAAGGTTGTATCATTGTTTACTATGTTTTCTAATTATATACATCACAAATATAATTTTGTGAAAGAGGAGCCCGTAATTAGGCACCATGCGTTGTATCATTTTAGCCATTTGTATATTTATATGGGCATCTAAGTCACTTGCCTCTGAGGTAACTGCATTTAAGCTCTTCAGGTTTAATTTTATGAGAAATGAGACACTTCATCAGTTTATGCTATAAATCTTAATCTAGTTTTGAATTAATCCTTGTTACTTAAGGGCTAAAGTGAATGAGTGTATGGGCTCATTTAGGATCGATTATTTGGTTTATTTTGTTATTTTAGTGTTCAGTACTAGTGTCAATTTAATAAAAAAAAAAGTGCTAGTGAGTTCCACATGTATGAAATGTCTCTTGGGTAGATTATTGAATTTTTGTTTTGGTATGTTTTACTATTCATGTGTGTTTCTTTTAGTATTGATGCATTTTTCAAAGAGTTATTCTTATGTGCTTCATGATCGTAAATTTTGTTTGGCTGTTCTGTTCCTAATTTCGTTTTTTGGTGTCGCTCCTTTCAGATATCTGGCAGTGGTCAGAATTAGCTACTTATGGTGATTTACCCTCAGCGAGGGACTTTTCTGCTGCAGCAGCCATTGGGAATCGAAAAATTGTTTTGTGGGTATTACTGTAGTTGCCTTAAATGCATTTATTAATGCTGGCTATCAATGGATTCTGATGTTGGACTACGGTATCATACTGAATGCAGATATGGTGGCTGGGATGGTAAAAAATGGCTCTCAGATGTGTATGTTTTGGACACAAGTAATTTCTGCTTCCTATGGTCTTGTCTTTGCTTAAGATTGTGATTGTGGATTTGATGGTGGACTAATTCAAGCTAAAACAAAAACCCTCGAGGAGCAATCTTTAAGCACTCCATCCATTTTGGAATTCTTGTTATAGGCAAAGAGGTTGACATTGATTAATTAATTGCATGTGGAACAGTGTCTCTTGAATGGACAGAGTTATCTGTTTTGGGTACATTGCCACCACCTAGATGCGGGCATACAGCAACTATGGTTGAGAAACGTCTGCTTGTTTTTGGTGGAAGAGGTGAAGATTTTTGTCATGTCCTTCCCTACTCGTATCTGGCTATGGCATAGGGTTCTTTAGATGCTCTCTTTAGATAATTGATTATTGGGAAAATATCCTATTATCCCCTATTTTTAACCTCTATATCTCATCAGACCCAAGAATTAAAAATATTATTTGTAAGCAAAATGACTCCATCTTTTCTATCTTCCAACCCCCTAAACCCTTTTGACCTCAACAACTTATGAAATGACTCTATCTCTCTCTTTCTTTAAAACTCCATCTCTCTCTCAAAACTCTATCTCTCTCTAAAACCCAAACTCCATCTCTCTCTCACATCTCTTTCTCTCTCTCAAAACTCCATCTTCTCCTAAAACTCAAACTCCATTCTTCTCTCTAAACTCCATCTCTCG